TTGTTTTAGGAAAAAAATAAGTCAGTAAGGGACACAGAGTTTCTTTGGGATAGGACGCCCCTCTGACTGGAAATGGGGGTTATGTACCCTGGGGATACGGGCCCCAGTGGGTAGAAATATTCTATAGAGTGAATCTTCTGTGAATCACCCTGTTTTCATTCCCACCCACACACTCCTACCCAGACCTCCAAAGTCTAATGTGAGAGCTGACCAGAATTTTGGTGGAGGGTACATTTTATCTCCACCGATATGTATTCTTTTCTGCACATATTCTTGGCATCTCTTCTCCTCTCTTGTTTCTAATGGTTTGCAACGTTCTCTGAATGTGCACCAAGCTTCTCCTCTTGATAAACTTCATCATCAGCATTTTATTGGGTCATGGGAGGAAGGAGAAGCAACTGAGGGTCTTCTCTCTGCCATCTTTTATGTTATAGCTGTTAATGCTCACCTGAGGGTATTTTTTTTTCCATTGATTTTTAGAGTGTGGAAGGGAGGGAGGGAGAAACAGGGAGGGACGGGGGAGAGAGAGAGAGAGAGAGAAACATTGATGTGAGAGAGACACACAGATTGCTTGCCTCCCACATGAGCCCCCCACGAGGGCCAGGAACCAAACCTGCAACCCAGGTACATGCCCTTGACTGGAATCGAGCCCATGATCCTTGGGCCTGCGGGTGGATGCTCTAACCACTGAGCCACACTGGCCAGGGCCATTTTATTTTATTTTAGGGGAATCTCACCCCCTCCATCATTTATCAATCAAATAGACAAACACACCCACCCACAGTGACTTGCAGAATCTTCAAAGCACAGAGCTTGGGTCTCCCCTTAGGAAGCCAGCTTGCAGCATCAATTACTAATGTGATCTGCAGCCGAGCCCCAGGGCCAGGGCTGTAATTGCCTGCTCAGAGTCTGTGCCCTTGGCCCGAGGCTAACCCCAGCATCGGGCACTTTGAAGTAAGAGCGGATGTCTCCACGTGAAATAACTAAATTAATTTCCAAGGGACTGGCAGAAATCACCATGCGGCTCATAGTAAATGCAGAGGAATCTGAAACAGAGAACCAAGGAGGCGAGGGGGGATAATATTGCAGAGAATGGGAGACCATTTCAGCTCAGAAACCAAACACAGAAGGATGGGGGCTGACACCCATTCTCAATGACATTTGGCCAGCTCTAACCAGAGGAAGTTTCCTCTGGCATCTTTTGCCTTTTGATTAATTCCTATTAACAGACAGCCAAAGCTCAAGAAATCATAAGAAGTATCTTGTGTAAGGGGAGATTAGCTGTTCACTCTCCATCATCAGCCTGAACGTCAATGACTTGGGTAGACAAGGTCTTGGGAGGTGTATCAGGTTCTGGTGGCTGCTGTAACGAGTGACCCCGAACCTAGTGGCTCCAAACAACAGCAATTTATTGTCTTAGAGTCTGGATGTGTACCAAAAAAGGGGGGTTCTACAGAAAGTAAACTCTGGAGAGATAGGAGAGGGTAAAGGGGAGAAGGCAGTGATGCCATTGATTTAAAAAAAAAAAGATAAATTAGCAATAAAGGCCAGGATTGGTAAAGGTTATATCCCTGAACCCCAGAAGATGCTTTGTTGGAGAGAGTCTGAGAGATCTGAAAGTTTCAAAGCTCTTTACTAGACACAGACATTCCCTCTCTGGCCGCTCAGGGCACAGCTGTGGTTGGAACCCCAGAGAGACTTAGGTCTGGGTTTGTGTTTAAGTTTTTGGTGCCTTCAGTCAACAAGAGACAGATTTAGATCCAACTGCAACTAATGTCTCTGCAAAAGTGGCAAATGAAGTGACCAGACAGCTTAGATGCAAAACCATGGATGGGCCCAGCTGGTGTGGCTCAGTGGTTGGGCATTGACCTATGAACCAGGAGGTCACGGTTTGATTGCCGGTCAGGGCACATGCCTGGGTTGTAGGATCAATCCCCAGTGGAAGGCGTGCAGGAGGCAGTGGATCAATGTTTCTCTCTCATTATTGATGTTTCTACCTCTCTCTCCCTCTCCCTTCCTCTGTCTGAAATCAATAAAAACCTATTTTTAAAAAAAATGACAAAAAAATCCCCCAAAACCATGGATGGCGGGCGCTATTTATGGCTAAGTGTTCCACAAATGGAATGCTCGGGTCTTGCTGTCTTCTCAGCAAACCTGGGCATAGACAGGAGGCGTGTTAGTACCATCCCTGGATGGGTGAAGAATCAGAAAGACAAGAGACCCAATGTTTCCATGATGACGCCAAATGTGAGACTTGGCACTTCCCGAGGCTCAGGTAAAGTGGGAAATGGCATGGCGTGCCCTCCAACTTGGAGGTCAATCCATAGAACTGCCCCATCTAGCCTCCCAACCTGTCCCACCTTGGAGAGAGCCAGGGGTCCCTTATATGACTTTATGTCCCAATAGCCAATAGGAGAGATGCCCATTAGACGTGTAATGTTCATGCCCATTACGCGTGAGACACAGTTGGCATCTCAACAGAGGGAGATTCAACCATGACGTGTCCTACACAGACCAGCCTTTGCTGAGCCCACATTTTTCTATTAAAAGTCCCCGTTATCCCATACAGTCAGATGCCCATTTTCCAACGTTAGGACCTGATATCTTTGGGGTCCATTGGTCCATCCACCACAGACCTCAAGCTCCTTTAAGACAAAAGCTCTGTTCCATTCAACTCTGAGCTGCGGTGTTTCCTCAGAGCTGGCTGCAGAGCAGTAGTTAACACAAATCTGTTGGATGAAGAATGAATGAGGTGGTCCCTCCCATTGGAGGACCTCAAAAAAACTAGTTGATGCCACCTTGAGGGAACACAAGAGCATCTTTACAAAGAAACCACACACATCAATGGGTCCAACTATTGAATCAAGTCTTGCCCAGGGATGGAAAGGCATCTATCCTGGCACACAGAGTTCCTCCAGGTGCCCCTGAAACCAGGGACAGGCTCAAACTAAGCATCCCCAGTGCCCACCATGCTACAGGTTCAGGCTTACTCACCCAGAAATCCATGTGATATCCGCAGCTGGTGGGAAGGGTGTCCATGCTCTGAGGAATCTTACAATCACGTCTTGAAGGACTCATGCTACCTTCTCAAAACTATGTTGTGTCTCTCCCAGGGAGGAACAAAGACATAAGGGCTGACACCCAATGAGGTCACCAGGATCCTACAAGATTCAAATCGTTCTTGGAGCCCTGCTTCTCAGCCTGGGAATTGAGCATCTGTCAGCTGCCACTAAGCTCAGTCTCTCGAAGACAGAGGACGTCTGCTTGGCCAGGACCCAACATGTCACCTCCATCCTGAGCCTGCTCTTAGAAACCATCATTGTGATGGAAATAAGAGCGGTTGGCACTCGTGTACAATGACCTCAAATGGGAGCAGGATCTTTGAGGACATGCATATGTTCCAAGCTTGGGGACTTCCTGAAATTCAACATTTTTTGTGTGTGTGTGCACAGTTCTGGTAGCTCAGATTATATTAGACAAGGCGCATCTCAGACTTGGGTTAATACAGGAAGTGATTCTAGGTCCAAAACACAAAAGTCTGGGCCCTAGGGCTGAGCAGAACATCTGAGATACTTGAGGAGATGCCAGCACCCAAGAAGGTGAGGTCTGCATTTGCCTGGTTCAGGGCGTCTCGAATGTGGCTGACCTAGAGGATAGTTTGAGGAGCTTTAAATAAATGCTGATGTGCAGAGGAATGAACCCTGGAAAACTGAGTACTTTTCAAAGGTTCCCCAGTGAGCAACCAGACCCATGAGCCTTACTGGACCTTCGGGGAGATCTTGAGCCTTGTTGATGAGACACACATTTGATTAGAATTTACCACCTTACCCAACAACTGTGCCGTGTCTTAGACGCAGGAGACTGAAAGAAAGTCCATGACTAGTTTTTCTCAGGTAATCCCAAACACGAGCAGTGACAGTCCTTCATGTGTTGTTAAGCCACCAGTAGGTAAAACTCTCATTCCACTGATGACGTCATTGCTTAATGGTGACACGCCACCCGTCTCAGCGTCTGTTGTGAATGCAACAGAAGAGCTGCTGGCTAACATCCCAACGCACCGTTTGGGTCTCCAGTGGGATTTGGTCAATTAATGGGGTGGACAGTTAGCTGCTGAGAGGTCACTGGTTTGGAAATTCAGGGTGCAGGCCAGCAGGACACACACAGTCTCGTTTTAATAGCATTTCAGGAGGCTTGTCTGTCCATGCTGGAATTTGGGGATTGTGGTATCCATCTCAGAGAGAGGGGATTGAGCCTTCCTTGCCATACTGGTGCGTAAGGAACGGTGAACCCTGATGCCAAGGAATGTACCCACTGAATGGCCTGAAATGTTCAGAAACTGTATGAGTTTCCTGAAACAAATTACTATTAATTGGTTGCTGGCTTAAAAACCACAGGAATTCATTCTCCCCCAATCCTGGAGACCAGACGTCTGAGATCCAGGGGTCCCAGGGTAAAGCCCCCTCCAGAGGCCCCAGGGGAGGGTCCTTCCTGACTCCTCCAGCATCTGGGGCTCCAGGCGTCCCTGGGCTGTAGTCTGTGTCCCTCCCGTCTCTGCCTCTGTCTCTACATGGCTTCTCCTCTGTCTGTGTCTCCTGTCTCCTTGTCTGTCTCTTATAAGGAAACTAGTGACTACATTGAGCCTCTCTGGACAAGCCAGAGCTCTCTGCTCATCTTAAGGTCTTCATTAGACTCTGCAAAGACTCCTTTTCCAAATAAAATCACATTGACAGGTTCTGTGGGTTAAGGCATGGACGTATATTTTGGAGAAACCACCACTTGATATATATTAAGGCCAACGGGATGAAAACTGAACCCCCCAACACTCTTCTTCTCCTAGACNATTTTGGAGAAACCACCACTTGATATATATTAAGGCCAACGGGATGAAAATTGAACCTCCCAACACTCATCTTCTCCTAGAGCATAGAGGGTGGACTTGGAGATACTAGAGGTTGAGTTGTCCATAATGAAAACACAGAAGGGTCCATGAGGAAGCTATCAGTTTGGGAATAACCTTGTCCCTGTCCTACAAAACCCCTGGTGAGAGATGTCCAAGGTCCTTCTCATTGTTCCTGTCCTACAGAACACCACGGTGAACGGTGACCAGGTCCCTCTTCCTGTCCCTGTCCTACACCATCCCCCACAGGTCTGGTAATATACCTGCAAGACTCATGGGCCTGAAGCTATGATAGGAGCTCTTGGTGCTGCAGGTCACACCTGTGGACGGGCCACTCTGAAGATGATGCAGAAGGTGGGGTCCCACCAACCTTGACCAACAGGTTCATGTCTCTCTCTTTTGGGGGTGCACAAATCAAAGCCAGGTCTCGAGAGTAATGAGCAGTGTGGAAGATAAAAGGACACATGGACCCTCACAGCACCAGCGTCCCAGCAGCCGGCTGGTCCCTTGGAAGCGTTCATCTCATGGGGAACGTTTCTACCCAAGCCCGCCTGTCTGTTCCTCACCAAGCAAGGGAAACTGTACACTTGGGTGGCAGCATTTAATGATTCATGGCACCGGGAACAATTTGACACTTTGGAATGACAAGATTTAAGGCGAAGGCCCACCAGCTCATGGCGACACTCAACATTTCTCTTGGTCCTTAACTTCCCACAAAGGCACGGGAGCCGACAGGAGACTTTTGGGGACAGAGCCCTGAAGGCCGATGGGTATGAAAAATGCAGACAGAAGACGCTTCATAGGCCTGCGAGTGGTGGGCCAGGTGCAAAGTCCTCCCGACGGGGCAGCTATCTCGAGAAGACGTCTGGGGTCACATCACGGATGCCGGTCATCTGGCAACTTCTGGCCCAGAGCTGCTGCTGCAGTTGTGGGTCGTACGTGACCTTCAGGGACTTGGTCTCCTTCTCGTTGTAAACGTAGCGGCCACCAACGCCCTCCAGCTCCGGGGTGACGGCTGCATAGATGGAGGTCCAGGCTCCTTCATCTGGGGTCTACGAGAAGAAAAGACCAGGACACGTCAACTTTCAGGGCAGAGCGTGGCATTCTCAACTCACACGATGCTGGGGAGTGAGAGGGGGGCCATGTGGGGGAAATCAAGGGACATTTGTCATACTTTCAACAATAAAGATTAGAAGAAAGGATGTCCTTTGAGCCACAGACACACGTTCATGGTGGTCTAGCTGCCATCTGGAAGTAGAGACTCTACAGACGCACCTCAAGGTCACCCATCCCCAAATACCCGCCTGGGCATTTCCCCTGTTCCCTCATCTTTGAACAGATGCCACCATGCCCCCCAATTTCTCAAGTCAGACCCCAAATTATCCCTGATTCCTTCCTCTTTTAATTCCCATCAAAAACAAGTCAAGCGCCCTTGGTTTTGTCTCTGGACTTGTTCTCAAAACCATCTCCTGTGTCCATCTCCACCATGTCCAGACCCACCCGCACCCTGGAAACGGCCTCCAAGCAGACGCCAGGTCCCCCCACCATCCCCTCTACTCCGTCGATGCCCTGGAGGCTGATGTGTCCCATCCTGTCACCCCGTTTCCCTTCTCTGCCCCCAAGTCCATTTGCTCCTTTGTAGAAAAACAGGAAGTACCTCATGAACGTCCGAGGGGACAGCCTGTGGCCAGGCTTCTTATCTGAGCTCCTGGGGACACTAGGATGGTCCCACCTCTGAGTGGTGACATAACAAGTCCACCCCCTTCACGGCTGTTGCACTGACGCCATATAAGTGGCCTCAACATGGCCTCCCGTGTGGCGTCAGAGGCGACGAACGAAACGTCGGAGGCTGACCTTGAAAAACCACCAGCCAAATATCTTCTTGACCAGACGTGTGCCCCAGAAGACGTGTTTGTAGAGATTGGTGTTGACCACCCCGGGGTCCACCACGTTGGCGGTGACGTGGCTGCCCTGCGCAGATAGCAGCCCCTGCAGGTGGTAGGCGAACAGGACCAGGGCCAGCTTGCTCTGGGCGTAGGCGCCGTGGGAGGAGTAGCAGCCGCTGGAGAAAAAAAGTGAGAAGACGGCGTGAAATCCGATCCCGTTCACATCGAAATTCTTCCCTCCACCCCACGTCGCCCTCCCCATGTCCATTTGCGGCCACCTCTCGCATCCCCACGGGGTGCTCCGAAGTTCATTTTCCAATTTCTCTATAATTAGAGATTTTTCAAGTGTATTACATTTTTTTTTTCCTTTTATGGAGTTTTTTGGGGTGACACTGGTTAACAAAACTATACAGGTTTCGGGTGTGTGATGTCACAACGCATCATTCGGACACTATTGTGTGTGCGCCACCCCAAGTCAAGTCTCCTTCCATCTCCATTTACTCCCCCTGTGCCCTCCTGTACCACCCACCACCTGCCTCCCCCTGGCAATCACCACATGGTCGTCCATGTCCATGACTTTTCTTTTTTGTTTCATTAATATTTAATGGAGGATATTCTTTCCATTGATTTTTGGAGAGAGCGGGAGGGAAGGAGGGGCTGAGAGACACACCGATTGGTTGCCTCCCACATGCGCCCTCACCTGGGTCAGGAATCGAGCCTGCAAACGAGGTAAGTGCCCTTGGCCGGAATCGAACCCAGGACGCTTCAGTCCGAGGCCCGATGCTCGAACCGCTGAACCAAACCAGTCAGGGCACAACTTTATTATTATTATTATTTTTTAACAAAGCTATTCATTATTTCATTACCCAGTTCTACTGATCACCAACAATTCTGAACAGACCCTACCTACCGCCTCCATTTGGAGCTTACCCCTCACGCAAGAAGGCTCAGGGGTGGTCTAGCCGAGCAGATAAGACCTCCTGTGGGTAACAACCCCCTTAATTTCTGGCATACAGTCTCGACACCGGGTTTTATGTCTTTCCAGGGACTCTCGTTTTCTATCCCGACCCATCAGTCTTGGCAATTAACCGGAATCCCAAGGGCTATTTACAGTAGGTGCAGGCCAAGAACCAACTCTTCTTACAAGAGAAGCGGTTATGGCGGAAACCCAAGCGCTTCTCTCACTGGAACGGACCTGCTGGAGGGGTTGTTAAAATTGCACTTGCCTGGTCCCACCCCCAGATTTGGGATTCGGGGGGTCTTGAACTAGGGGACCCACTATTGGGACAGGTGAAAGCGTGCACCCACCTGCTCTGAAGGTTGTCCATGTTCAGCTCCCCGACATAATGCGTGGCCGACGAGACGGTCACCACCCTGGCGCTGCGGCCGGGACATCCCGACTCTCTCAGGGTGTCCAGAAGAAGGTTGGTGAGAAGGAAGTGACCGAGGTAGTTCAGGCCAAAGTGTTCTTCAAACCCATCTGTGGTCTTCCTCTCAGGGACCATCATCACGCCGGCTGGGGACACGGGGAATTCAGGGGGCGTTAGAAGAGATCAGATGGACAAGTCACCTCCCGGCCCCGGCCGGCGCGGCTCAGTTGGCTGAGCAACGTCCATGCACCAGGAGGTCGCCGGTTCGATTCTCGGTCAGAGCACAGGCCCGGGTTGCAGGCTTGATCCCCAGTCGGGGTCGTGCAGGAGGCAGCCGATCAATAATGTTTCTCTCTCTCTCTCCCTCTCCCTTCCTCTTGCTCTAAAAAATTAGTAAAAACACATTTTTTCAAAAATAGCCCTCAGCCAAACCTTGGTGCATTTCACTGGCTCGGATCTGAACAGCTGGGCTCATTAGCCTCCATTTCTGCTGGGTCCCCAGTGGCCAGGTAAATGGTGACAAGAGCTGAAGGACACCCGCTGCCTAATCTCCTTAAGGCTTAAAATACCCCATTCACTCCGTTTCTATTATGTGCTTCTTAGTGATAATGTACATGGCAAGGAAAGCATTTTGCTGGGAGGGAGAGATGCCAACAGAGATATTGGTTTGATCCCAGCTCTGGTGTCAGATTATAGCACAAACTCACTGCGCCCAGATGCCAAGAATCTGAGAACGCTCTGGGCAAACAGGGAGGTCAAGGTGAGTCGGGAAATCATCAGAGGTCATCTGAGCACATTCTGGGGTGTCAACAGCGTCACCTGGGGAAACCGTGTTTTTACAACAGGAGTGTGGGAACATCGCTGCCCTGTAGACAGCTGGCCACGTCCTGGGTTCCGGAAGCAAATGGTCTATTCTGGGCTCATCTAAGGTGCGGGGATTCCAAGAACTGATACATAGTTGCTGCTTTTTTATTTTTATTTTTTAATTTAAATGTGTCTTTATTCTTTCAGAGAGAGGAAAGGAGAGGGAGAGAGAGAGAAACATCAATGATGAGAGTCATGGATCGGCTGCCTCCTGCACGACCCCTACTGGGGATCGAGGGCATGTGCTCCGACCGGGAATCGAACCAACAACCTCCTGGTTCATAGGTCGATGCTCAACCCCTGAGCCACGGCGGCCGGGCCTGAGTTACTGCTTTAATATTCATCGGTCTCAGCACTCGGTGCTGATTCATTGGATGCATCCTATGAATGACGAATTCTACGCAAAACGTGGGTCAGTATGAATGCAGCCAGGTAACCTCAAGGTTACCATAGACACATATACAGGGTGTCCCCAAAAAATGCACACACACTTTGAACGATGATGAAATCAGTGTTTATGAGCACACAGTTCATTTTCAAAATCGAAAAGAATCTGCAAAAATGAGCATTTTTTGGGTCAACGCCTGTTTTCAAACAGACGACCGTTCTGGTCCAGGCCCTGCTGATAACACGAAGCAACGGAATCGCCAACATCAAGGATCATTTCGGGCAGTATCTGTGCACCCTCAATGCGTCGACCGTTGCTGGTTTTGTGCCATAAACTTTATCTTTTATCCCCATAAAAAATACTCTAGGGACACTTCAGAATAAATTTTCTTTGTTCAAAGCTTAGTCTGGTTTATCCCATTATTTCAAACCAGTTAAACCTGAAAAGGAGTGAAACTTAACCGAGTTATCAGCTGTTAAAGTGTGCGTATGTGTTTTTGGGACACCCTGTACTTTTGGGGGTAGGAAACATAATTTTTAGTAATTCTTGATCTCGGGAATTTTGTCCACTGGAGTTATGGGAAGAAATCCTAGAGATAAAACTTACATCCTGTGCAGTTATTAAAAACTTATCCATGTGGCTCAGTGGTTGAGCATCGACCTGTGAACCAGGAGGTCATGGGTTCGATTCCCGGTCAGGGCACATGCCTGGGTTTCGGGCTCCATCTCCAGTCGGGGGCATGCAGGAGGCAGCCGATCCATGACTCTCTCATCATTGATGTTTCTCTCTCCCTCTCTCCATTCCTCTCCCTGAACTCAATAAAGACGTTTAAGTTTTTTTTAAAAAGCAGCAACTATGCATCAGTTCTTGGAATCCCTGCACCCTGGATGGGCCCATAAGCCCATGTACTTATGAATCTCTGTGGGAACCTGCTCTCCGGAAAGACGCCTCTCACGGGGACCGTGGGGTTTCCTGTTGTGTCGGGATCGACCTCCAGGATTGACCAGAACTCACCATTATTAACCAGCACGTGGAGAGGAATTTTTTTTTCCTTGAACTTGTGGACGAATTGCCGGATGGACTTCATAGATGCCAGATCACAATACAAAAACTCCACTGAAAAAGACAAGAATGCCCCATTATCTCCCTGGCAACCAGTGTCTTGATCGGATTCCCTTAAATGGCCATAATGATGGAATGTCAGCTCCTTAATTGGGCTCCCTTACTGGCAAAGATGTTGGGGTGTCAGTCCCTTGATCGGGGCACATGGCAGAGGGAGGGTGACCTTGTAAGGGGAACATGAGCCCTGAAACCAGGCCCCACAGCTGGGGAGGGCAGGGCAGGGCACCCACTATCAATGGGAACTCTGAACGGCTCCATCCCTAAGAACAGAAACACGCAAATCCAGTTGCATGGGGTGGAGGCAGCAGGGCTGACCTCGGACAGGACACTGCGAGTCTCGATGGTGAGGGTCTCAGCTGTCACCCCCCCCTAACACCCAAGTAGGAGCTGCAACCCCCCAACAATATGCATGGTCAGAGGGGACAGGAGTAATGGATACAGCTGGGATCCTGGAGGTAGAGGGAGACACTGGGATCGTTTCCTGTTTCACACGGAGCGCCATCAATGAGGCCTTCATTTCTATTTGGATAATTAGAGGAATGGAAGGTGAAATGTTTTGAGAGTAGTCAATATGCCCGTAGGAGACAAGAACTGGAAATGTGAGGTATACCAGTCGTTCCCATAGCAGAAACAAGAGACCCAGGAAACCACTAGGGGGTGCTGTTTGAGAGAGGGGGTGTGAGCCCAGGGTTGGTGGTCATGACACAAAACCCGAAACAACAATCCCAAAGAATCTATGCACCCCTATGTTCATAGCAGCACAATTTACAGTAGCTAAGATCTGGAAACGGCCCAAGTGCCCATCCGTAGATGAGTGGATAGAAAAGCTGTGGTATGTCTACACCGTGGAATACTATGCAGCTGTGAAAAGGAAAGATCTTGTACCCTTTGGGACAGCATGGAGGGACCTGGAGAGTATTATGGTAACGGAAATAAACCAGGCAGAGAAAGACAAGTATCCCCATGATCTCACTCATATGTGGAGTCTAATGAACAAAAATAAACTGATGAACAAAATAGATCCAGAGACATGAAAGCATGGAGCAGACGGAGGGATCTCAGAGGGAAGGGGGGGAGGAAGGGGCGGGAAGAGATGAACCAAAGAACTTATATGCATGTAACATAACCCATGGACACAGATAATAGTGTGGGGAAGGCCTGGGGAGGGGGTAGCAGGGTGGAGGGGATCAATGTGTGTGGGGGGGCATCTGTAATATTTCCAACACATCATCTGTATACCGTATTGTGTGTTTACCACCCAAAGTCAAGTCTCCATCCATTGCCATTCATCAGCAGTATGGAGATACCTCAACAAATTAAAAATGGAACTGCCGAGTGACCCAGCGATTCCACTTGGCATTTATCGAAAGAAACCTGAAACGCTGATTCGAAAGAACACATGCACCCCTATGTTCATTGCGGCGTTATTGATGATAGCCAAGATACGGATGATAAAATTTAAAAAAAAAAATTCCTTTTNGGTCCCTTACATAAATATCTAATCGCTATGTTGTAAAACTTAAATTAATTTTAATTTCATGTTAAAAGTAATATAATACTGTAAGTCAACTGTAGTTGAAAAATAAATTAAAAAAATTTTTCTTTAATTAATAAGTAAAAAGGCTGAAAATTCTCAGAAAAGCAAAGCAGGGTTGGCCTGATTCATATAAGATACGGGAAATGTAAGCCCGGCCGGTGTGGTTCAGCAGTTAAGCATCGACCTATGAACCAGGAGGTCGCCGGTTCGATTCCCGGTCGGAGCACATGCCCTCGATCCCCAGTAGGGGGCGAGCAGGAGGCAGCCGATCAATGATTCTCTCATCAATGATGTTTCTCTCTCTCCCTCTCCCTTCCTCTCTCTCTGAAATCAATACATATTTTTAAAAAGATACAGAAAATTTAAGATGAATACATTCATGGGACTGACTGGATTGCAATCTGGACCCCCGAAGCTCCATCAATACGACACCACGATCGTCGCTGCTATTTCCACATGCCTTTGTCCCGAGTGACGCGACACAGAATCCTACAAAAACTCAGAGAGAGGCGACGAGTGACACATCGGACCAGGCTGCCAACGCACATTTAAAAACACGGACACGTCTGCCTTGTTTTAGGCTCCCACTTCTAACCGTCCTNCCCCCGAAGCTCCATCAATACGACACCACGATCGTCGCTGCTATTTCCACATGCCTTTGTCCCGAGTGACGCGACACAGAATCCTACAAAAACTCAGAGAGAGGCGACGAGTGACACATCGGACCAGGCTGCCAACGCACATTTAAAAACACGGACACGTCTGCCTTGTGAAGAGATTTAGAAATTATAGGCTCCCGCTTCTAACCGTCCCNTGCCTTGTTTTAGGCTCCCACTTCTAACCGTCCTAATCATATGTTCAATTTATATCTCAGATTTCAACATCCCAAGGAAGGGAGTGCTTTTCTGAAGAAAATGCTGATGATTACAATCTAATCAAGGCAATTAGGGTGAATCAGGCCATCGCATGTGAAAGAAATAGAGAAATTAGAAGAGAATGGCGTTTCGGAAAGGGAAGGGGGCGGGTGGTGCTGAGGGAAATGAGCAAATTCCTTTAGACGTTTTTCTTTTAAAATACGTGTAGTGTTTTTTTTTAATGATTTCAGAGAGAGGGAGAGGGAGAGATAGAAACGTCAATGATGAGACAGTCATTGATCGGCTGCCTCCTGCAGGCCCCGGACTGGGGATCAAGCCCGCAACCTGGGCATGTGCCCTGACCGGGAATCGAACCCGTGACCTCCTNAGCCCGCAACCCGGGCATGTGCCCTGACCGGGAATCGAACCCGTGACCTCCCGGGTCATGTGTTGATGCTCAACCCACTGAGCCACATTGGCCAAGAGAGAGAGACAGAAAGAGAGAGAGACAGAGAGAGAGAGAGAGGAGACCGATGAGGGTCTCTGCTATCTTTTATTATTATGATTGATTGATTGATTGATTGATTGATTGATTGATTGGAGAGAGAGATTGGCTTCCTATTCCACTCACTGATGAATTCATTGGCTGTTTCTTGTCTGTGCCCGGATCAGGGATCGAACCAGAAACCTTGGGGTACTGGAAAGATGCCCTAAACAACTGCACTGCCCGGCCGGGACTCCGGCATCTCCTCTTAGAAGGACCCTGATCCCATCCTGAGGGCCCCACTCTCATGACCTCATCTAACCCTGACCCCCACCCAAAGCCCCTGCCTCCTTATACCAACCCACTGGAGGCCAGGGCTTCTACGGATGGATTTGGGGGGCCGCGGGGGGGACACACACATTCATTCCATTGCAGCCGGTCCCATCGGCAGAGCAGGACGGTCGTGCCTTTTCGGTTCAGGGCTGGCGTGAGCGAGCTGTAAACGCATCCGAACGCCAAGAACTCTCTGCGGCGTCTGCAGCCCAGCGCAGGGGTTACGAACGTTGGCCGAGACGCTGGATCTGATTGTCGTCAGATAACGAACGGTCCTTGGCAGCCCCGGGAAGGAAGTGCTGGAAGCCCCTCAAACGCTGAACCTACAGGCGCCTAAAGCACCGAGAAGCGGGCCTACGGTCGGTCTTCCCAGCCGACATCCTCGCCGCAAATGCAGGGCTGCAGGCATGTCAGGTCTTGAGGCTCTGATGGTGCAATTAGCAGACCAGGCATAGGGTCTGCCCATGTTAAGAAAAAAAATTTTTTTTATTGGCCCGGCCTGCGTGGCTCAGGGGTTGAGCGTTGACCCATGAACCAGGAGGTCTGGGTTCGATTCCAGGTCAGGGCACATGCCCGGGTTATGGGCTCGATCCGCAGTTGGGGGCCTTGCGGGAGGCGGCCGATCAAGGACTCTCATCATTCCTGCATGTGCCCGGACCAAGGATCGGACCTGCAACCTTGGCATATTGGGACCCACTGAGCGGCCTGGCCCGGGCTATCCACATGGCTGTGTGCGTGTGTTTAATTTTTTAAAACTGATTTTAGAGAGCAAGGAAGGGAGAGCGAGAGAGAGAGAAATGTCGATGATGAGAGAGTCATGGATCGGCTGCCTCCTGCACGCCCCCGACTGTGGATCGAGCCCCCAACCCGGGCATGTGCCCCGACCGGGAATCGAACCCCGATCGCCTGGATCCTAGGTTGATGCTCAACCGCTGAGCCACCCCGGCCGGGCTTGCATTGTTTTTAAACGCTCATCTCTAGTAAAGCTGCAGAATTAAACAGCCCTGAAGGCGCCAAACATAGTGAAGTGGTGACTGCTGTCTCCTTGCCTTTCTGGGTCACAAATGTCCTAAGCAAGGGGACTGCTACTGGTTTGCATTCCTATCGTTTATCTTGAAAACCTGCCGGCGCACCTGCCTCTAATTGGAAGCTAACGATGATGCGTGAAGGGCCTCGTGGTGACCGACTCTGACTTTCTAAGCGGACATCCCCACGTCCACCCACCGTTCGGGTGTCTCCTTGAAAAGAGCAGAAGTCCAAGCAACCATCGCCTCTTGCCCTGGCCTGTAAACCTGGAAAATCCTCGATTTTCTCATCTTAGAAATGGAGCCAAGAATCGCACCTCCCGCCAGGGTGCTGCAGGGACGAGCCAGGCAACGTGCTCGGTGCAGCATCTTCCCTCTGCTACGCGCTCAATAACTTTATTTATCCTGAAATTCCTGTTTTTGTCACTCAAGAGGATGACCGGCTGTCGGGGGGCGGGGGAGGGAAAGAAGATGTCGTGGAGCCCGGCCAGTGTGGCTCAGCGGTTGAGCATTGACCTATCAAGGCTGACCACGTGCATGCTGACCACATGCATGGCTGACCACCTACAAGGCTGACCACGTGCATGCTGACCACCTGCATGCTGACCGAGTGCATGGCTGACCACCTACAAGGCTGACCATCTGCATGGCTGACCACGTGCATGCTGACCACATGCATGGCTGACCACCTACAAGGCTGACCACCTGCATGGCTGACCACATGCATGCTGACCGAGGGCATGGCTGACCACCTACAAGGC